AAGGAAGGAAGGAGGAAGAGAGGAAGGAAGAAAGGAAGGAAGGAAAGAAGGAAAGAAGAGAAGGAGAGAAGAACAGAAGGAAGAAAATGGAGGGAGGGAAGAAAGAGAGAAGGAAGAAAAGAAGGTGTGAAGGAAGGAAGGAAGGAAGGAAGGAAGGAAGGAAGGAAGGAAGGAAGGAAGGGAGGGAGGGAGGAAGGGAGAGGGGCTGGAGCGATAGCCCAGTGGAGAGGGCGTTGGCCTGGCACGTGGCCAAACCGGGTTCGAGTCCCAGCATCCCAGAGGGTCCCCTGAGCGCCGCCAGGAGGGATTCCTGAGTGCAGAGCCAGGAGTCAAGCCCTGAGCATCGCTGGGTGCGACCCAAAAAGCAAAAAAAGAAAGAAAAGGAAGGAAGGAAGGAAGGAAGGAAGGAAGGAGAGAAGGAAGAGAGGAAGGAAGGAAGGATTGTGGGAAGGAAGGAAGGAAGGAAGGAAGAAAATGGAAGGAGGAAGAATGAGAAAAGGAAGGAGAAAAGGAAGAAGGGAAGGAAGGAAGGAAGGAAGGAAGGAAGGAAGGAGGGAAGAAAGGAAGAAAGGAAGGAAGAGAGGAAGGAAGAAAGGAAGGAAGGAAGGAAGGAAGGAAGGAAGGAAGGGAGGGAGGGAAAGGGAGGAAGAAAGTGAAAAGGAGGAAGGAAGGAGGGAGGGAGGGATGGAGGGAGAGGAAGGAAGGGAGGAAGGAAGGAAGGAGGGAAGAAAGGAAGAAAGGAAGGAAGAGAGGAAGGAAGAAAGGAAGGAAGGAAGGAAGGAAGGAAGGAAGGAAGGAGAGAGGCTGGAGTGATAGCCCAGTGGGGAGGGCGTCTGCGTGGCACGCGGCCGACCCGGGTTCGATCCCCGGCATCCCGTAGGGTCCCCCGAGCACTGCCAGGGGTGATTCCCGAGTGCAGAGCCAGGAGGGACCCCTGAGCATCGCCGGGTGGGACCCAAAAAGCAAAAAAAAAGAGAAAAAGTTTGTCTGAGCTTTCTGGGTTCCAAGGAACAGACGTGTTTTCGTTTGTTTTGGGGCCACATCCGGTGCTGCCCGGGGCTTAATCGGGGGTCTCAGAATTCATTCCTGGGGGGGCCTCACGGTGCATTTGGGGTGCCGGGCATCGAACCAGGCTCAAGGCAAGAGGCTTAACCCACCGTCATATCATCTGGAGCGATGATAGCACAGCGGGGAGGGTGTTGGCCTGGCACGCGGCCAACCCGGGTTCGATTCCTCCGTCCCTCTCGGAGATCCTCCCGCCAAGCTCCCGAGAGGATCCCACCCGCACAGCGGAGCCTGGCAAGCAGAAATCGGGGTCCCTTGGGGAAATCCGTGAGAGCGACTGGGGTCCAGCGGGTGCCCGGCCTGGCTGCAGCCTCGGGTTCGGGTCAGGGATGCCGTGGGAAGGGGGTGTGGGTTCACGGCCGCCGGGTGGGCTTGGAATTCAAGGGTGGGTTTGTCTGTCCACGAATGATGCGGTGCGGAGCTGAGGGTTCCTGGTGGGGTTCATTGGGAGGGGGTCTCTGTGTGTGTATGCACGCGTTTGCGTGTACACGTGTGTGGACATGTGTGGACATGCACGCACGCACACATGCACGCACGTGTGTGCATCCATGTGTGTATGCATGTGTTTGCGTGTACACATTGGTGTATATGTTTGTGCATGTGTGTACACACGCGTGCATGCACTTGCATGTGTATACACGTCTGTACACGTGTGTGCACATGCCTCTCTGTGCATGTATCTGTACACATGTGTAAGATGCGTGTGTACCCATGTGTGTACGATGTGTGCGTGCACGTGCGTGTACACGTTTGTGTATGTGGACACATGTTTGTGCATGTGTGTACACATGTGTGCCTGCACGTGTGTACACGTTTATGTATGTGGACACATGTTTGTGCTTGTGTGTACACATGTGTGTATGCACTTGCGTGTGTGTACACGTCTGTGCACGCACCTCTGTGTGCATGTATCTGTACACGTGTGTATAGATGTGTGTGCACCCACGCGTGTACATCCATGTGTGCATGCACGTGTGTATACATGTTTGTGCATGTGGATACATGTTTGTGCGTGTGTGTACACGTCTGCATGCACGTGTGTGTACACGTTTATGTATGTGGACACATGTTTGTGCATGTGTGTACACATGTGTGCACACGTGTGCATGTGCCTCTGTGTGCGCGTATCTGTACACGTGTGTATAGATGTGTGTGCACCCACGTGTGTACGTCCATGTGTGCATGCACGTGTGTGTATACACGTTTATGTATGTGGATACATGTTTGTGCATGTGTGTACACATGTGTGCATGCATTTGCATGTGTGTACACATCTGCGCACGTGTGTGCACGTGCCTCTGTGTGCGTGTATCTGTACACGTGTGTGTAGATCCGTGTGCACCCACGTTTGAACGTCCATCTGTGCATGCACACGTGCGTGTACACGTTTATGTATGTCGATACATGTTTGTGCGTCTGTGTACACATGTGTGCATGTATCTGTACACGTGTGTATAGATGTGTGTGCGCCCACGTGTGTACGTCCATGTGTGCATGCACGTGTGTGTATACATGTTTATGTATGTGGATACATGTTTGTGCATGTGTGTACACATGTGTGCATGCATTTGCATGTGTGTACACATCTGTGCATGTGTGTGCACGTGCCTCTGTGTGCGTGTATCTGTATACGTGTGTGTAGATCCGTGTGCACCCACGTTTGAACGTCCATGTGTGCATGCACGTGTGCGTGTACACGTTTATGTATGTGGACACGTGTTTGTGCATGCGTGTACACGTGTGCGTGCACTTGCGTGTGTGTACTCGTCTGTACACGTGTGCACACATGCCTCTTTTGCGTGTATCTGTATACGTGTGTATGGATGCGTGTGCACCCACGTGTACGTCCGTGTGTGCACGCACACGTGTGTACACGTTTGTGTGTGGGTACATGTTTGTGCATGCATGTACAAGTGTGTGCGCACTTGTGTGGGCATGTACACACATGTGTACACACATGTCTGTATGTACATGTATCTGTACCCACGTGTATATGTGTGTGTGTGAACCTGGCTGGGCCCTGATGGAGGGTCCCTTGCCACCCTGACTCACAGCCGGCCTCGAGGTCCCGGCTCAAGAATCCAGAGTCCAAATAACTGGGTGGGTGGGGGTGTCAGGTGGGGGGTCCCCCACACAGACCATGTCTGATTTTCACGGGGGCTGAGCAGGGGGGCTTTGCCCGGATGGACACACGTGAGTGTCCATGCCATGTGAGAGCCAGACAGCTTTATCACAGCATCTCGGTCCTCTCAGGGGTCAGCGTGGGGTCTGCAGGGGGACCCAGAGGTGGACCCTTGGGGTGGGGACGTGGCCGTCCCAGCTTGGGGGGGGGCTTCCTGGAGTCCAGAGAGGGGCCCACGGGGCGGGGTTTCTCTGCTCCTACGGGGGCTCTAAGCTGAGTTCCTGGGCTCTGGCTGGGGTTCAAGGATGCAGAGCTCGTAGCTGGGGTCTGAGTTGGGGGGTCCCAGGGGTGTCAGGGCTGCAAACATGCAGAGCTGGTTCCTGGGGTCCCGGTGGGCTTCCTGGTTGCAGACTGGGTTCAGGTGGGCTTCCTGCTTGCAGGCGAGGCCCAGGTGGGGTTCCTGCTTGCAGACTGGGGTCCAGGTGGGTTTCCTGGTTGTAGACAGGGCCCAGGTGGGCTTCCTGCTTGCAGTCCGGGGCCCAGGTGGGCTTCCTGCTTGCAGACCGGGGCCCAGGTGGGCTTCCTGCTTGCAGTCCGGGGCCCAGGTGGGCTTCCTGCTTGCAGTCCGGGGCCCAGGTGGGCTTCCTGCTTGCAGTCCGGGGCCCAGGTGGGCTTCCTGCTTGCAGTCCGGGGCCCAGGTGGGCTTCCTGCTTGCAGTCCGGGGCCCAGGTGGGCTTCCTGGTTTTAGACTGAGGCCCAGGTGGGCTTCCTGCTTGCAGACGAGACCCAGGTGGCTTCCTGCTTGCAGACTGGGGCCCAGGTGGGCTTCCTGGTTGTAGACCGGGGCCCAGGTGGGTTTCCTCCTTGCAAACTGGGCCCAGGCGGGTTTCCTGGTTGTAGACTGAGGCCCAGGTGGGCTTCCTTTTTTGCAGACTGGGCTCCAGGTGGGCTTCCTGGTTGCAGACTGGACTTCAGGTGGGCTTCCTGGTTGCAGACTGGGTTCAGGTGGGCTTCCTGGTTGTAGACTGGGATCCAGGTGGCTTCCTGCTTGCAGACTGGGGCCCAGGTGGGCTTCCTGGTTGTAGACCGGGGCCCAGGTGGGTTTCCTCCTTGCAAACTGGGCCCAGGTGGGTTTCCTGGTTGTAGACTGAGGCCCAGGTGGGCTTCCTTTTTTGCAGACTGGGCTCCAGGTGGGCTTCCTGGTTGTAGACTGGGCTCCAGGTGGGCTTCCTGGTTGCAGACTGGACTTCAGGTGGGCTTCCTGGTTGCAGACTGGGTTCAGGTGGGCTTTCTGGTTGTAGACTGGGATCCAGGTGGGCTTCCTGCTTGCAGTCCCGGGCCCAGGTGGGCTTCCTGGTTTTAGACTAAGGCCCAGGTGGGCTTCCTGGTTGCAGACCGGGCTCCAGGTGGGTTTCTTGGTTGCAACTGGGGTCCCGGTGGGTTTCCTGCTTGCAGTCCGGGGCCCAGGTGGCTTCCTGCTTGCAGTCCGGGGCCCAGGTGGGCTTCCTGCTTGCAGTCCGGGGCCCAGGTGGGCTTCCTGGTTTTAGACTAAGACCCAGGTGGGCTTCCTGGTTGCAGACCGGGCTCCAGGTGGGTTTCTTGGTTGCAACTGGGGTCCCGGTGGGTTTCCTGCTTGCAGGCCGGGCTCCAGGTGGTCCTTCCACCGTCGCAGCCTGGGGTCACCGCCGGGGGTTTCTGCGTGCCTGGGGGCGCACCGGCCGGGTGTTCCCGGGCGCGGGCCTGCGGCGGGGGCCGGGGCGGCGCGCGGGGCGGGCCTGGCGGCGCGCGTTTCCGCCGTGAGCGCGGCCCGGCCGGTCCCCGGACACAGCGCCATGTCGCCGTGGCGCGCGGTGCGCGCGGCGCTGCGGGTCTACGTGGCGGGGGCGCTGGTGATGCTGTCGCAGCTGCTCCGCCGCTGCCTCGGGGGCTTCTCGGAGCCAGGTGAGCGCGCGCGGGGGGCCGCGGGGCGCACGGGTGGGTGGGTGGGGGGGCCTGGGACGGGGCGCACGGGCGCGCGCGCTCCCGGCCAGGGGGACGGGCGCGGGGGAGGGGGTTGGACCCGGGGACGCGACCTTGAGCCGGGCGCGCGCGGGAGGTGGACACTTTTGGGGGGGACCCGGCGCGCGCGGGAGGTGGAGACTTCGGGGCGGGGCGCGCGCCGGAGTTGCACAATTGGGGCAAGGGGCGCGCGCGAAGAGGGGGGGATGGACACGTTTGGGGCCGACCCCACAAGCAGGAGGTGGAGACTTTGGGGAGGGGCGCGCGCGGGAGGTGGAGACTTCAGGGGGCTCCCTGGTGCCCCCCACCCCCGCGGGGCGCACCCCCAGCGCGCAAGAGGCCCCGCACACCCCTGGTTCCGCCTCCACCGTCACCCCCGGGCGCCCCGGAGGCGCCTCCCGGAGCGGGGGCCGGGCCGGGTGCAGCTCCGCCCCGCGCGCATCCGGAAGGGGAGGCCCCGCGCTGCGCGGAGCGGACCAGGCCGCTGGACCCGAGCCCAGCCTCGAACTCAGCCCACCGCGGGGGTCCTGGACCCCCGCCGCCGCTGCCCCGGGTTTCGGGGTGCGCACCCCGCGGGGAGACCCCCCCGGAACCGCGCCGCCCGTCGCGGCGGGACGTGGCGAGGCCGCCGGAGCTCAGGGCCTGGCCGGTCCCTGCACCCGCGGCGGGGCCGTGTGCGGGCCCCCGGGGGACCCTCCTCGCCGCCCACCCCGCCCCAGCTCCGGTGGCCCGCGTGGGGGGCTTCCCCGGGGACCGCCAGGCGCGCCCAGCCCGGCCTCGGAGGCGCCCAGCGGCCCAGGGGCCTCCCCGAGCGGGCCCGAATCTGGCCGCGAGCGGCCTGGACACGCAGGTGTCCGTCTCTGGACAGCAAAAAAAAAAAAAAAAAGCAAAAAAAAAAAAAAGTAAATTGTTGCCCGACCGATGATACTCTTAGTTGCGACTGTTTCCAAGTTGAGAAACATTTGCGAGTTCAGATACAATGTTGCAATTCTAATCCCAGCGCCGAGGTCCCCAGGTGAGCCGCCTGCCCCGCCAACCTGCGGGCCTGGACAGGGGCCAAGCTGACTCCTGGTTCTGTGCTCAGGGCTGACTCCTGGCTCTGTGCTCAGGGCTCACTCCCGGCTCTGTGCTTAGGGCTGACTCCAAGATCTGTGATCAGGGCTGACTCCCACCTCGGTGCTCAGGGCTCATTCTTGGCTCAGTGCTCAGGGCTGACTCCTGGCTCTGTGCTCAGGACTGACTCCCAGCTCTGTGTTCAGGGCTGACTCCGAGGTCTGTGCTCAGGGCTGACTCCCACCTCAGTGCTCAGGGCTCACTCCCTGGCTCAGTGCTCAGGGCTGACTCCTAGCTCTGTGCTCAGGCTTCACTTGAGGGTCCCCGGCGACCCTATGAGGCCACCCAGCTGCACCCTCCGGGACCCCTCCCCGCACCCGAGGCCCCCCGTGGAACATTCCTCTGCTTCTTCTTTCTCCAGCCCTGTGTGTTTCTCTCCTTGGTGGCCTCCTTCCTTCCTGTGCCCTGGGCTTCAGGCTGGCGCGGGTGTGAATAATAACCTGTGACTGTCTCCAGACACACACACACACACACACACACAGACACACACACACACACACCCTGTGCGTCTGTAACTGCACCGTGATAGGGTCTGTCCGCAGTTCCCTGGTGTGTAGATAACACTGGATTGTCTTTGCTGTTCTCTCAGGGACCTCAGGGTTTATTCAGCCAGCCGCCGACCCGGGTTCGATTCCCAGCATCCCATAGGGTTCCCCCGAGCACCACCAGGAGGGATTCCTGAGTCCACAGCCAGGAGGAACCCCTGGGCATCGCCGGACGGGACCCAAAAAAGGAAAAAAAGAAAGAAATGAAAAGACTGATTGCCTTCATGGGGCGGGAGTGATAGCACAGCGGGGAGGGTGTTTGCGTTGCACACGGCCGACCCGGGTTCGATTCCCAGCATCTCATAGGGTCCCCTGAGCACCGGCAGGAGTGATTCCTGAGTGCATGAGCTAGGAGGAACTCCTGTGCATTGCTGGGTGTGACCCAAACAGCAAAAATAATAATAATAATATTAAAAAATTTAAAAAAAACTCTTAGGGGCTGAAGTGCTGATACACAACACAGGACACGTGGTTTACACACAGATGTCCAGGCACCCCAGATGGTCCCCTGAGACGCCCTATGGTCCCCTGAGCACCTCCAAGGATGATTCCTGAGTGCCAAGCCCCCGGGGACCGACAAAAGCAACTCCAGAGACTCGCTGAATATGACCCCAAAGCTGAAAATCAACAAACAAGCAACCGAAAAACACGCCTTTTAAATCTGGGTCTCCCCTTGACGCTGGGAGCCTGTTGTGGGCTGTGGGCTGACCTTGAATAAGAGTCTGAGTTAATTTTTTTGCTTTTTGGGTCACACCCAGCAATGCTCAGGACTCACTCCTAGCTCTGCACTCAGGAATGACCCCTGGCGATGCTCATGGGACCCTATGGGATGCTGGGAATCGAACCCGGTCGGCCACATGCAAGGCAAACGCCCTCCCTGCTGAGCTATCGCTCCAGCCCCTCTTCTCTCCTTCCTTCCTTCCTTCCTTCCTTCCTTCCTTCCTTCCTTCCTTCCTTCTTCCCTCTCAATTCTTTCCTTCCTTCCTTCCTTCCTTCTTCCCTCTCAATTCTTTCCTTCCTTCCTTCCTTCCTTTCTTCCTTCTTCCCTCTCAATTCTTTCCTTTCTTCCTTCCTTCCTTCCTTTCTTCCTTCTTCCCTCTCAATTCTTTCCTTCCTTCCTTCCTTCCTTCCTTCTTCCCTCTCAATTCTTTCCTTCCTTCCTTCCTTCCTTCCTTCCTTCTTCCCTCTCAATTCTTTCCTTCCTTCCTTCCTTCCTTCCTTCTTCCCTCTCAATTCTTTCCTTGTTCCTTCCTTCCTTCCTTCCTTCCTTCCTTCCTTCCTTCCCTTCCTCCCTCCCTCCCTCTCTTCTCTTTTTTTTTTTTTTTTTGCTTTTTGGGTCCCAGCCGGCAATGCTCAGGGGTCCCTCCTGGCTCCACACTCAGGAATCACTCCTGGCGGTGCTCGGGGGACCCTATGGGATGCTGGGAATCGAACCCGGGTCTGCCGTGTGCAAGGCAAACACCCTCCCTGCTGTGCTATCATCGCTCCAGCCCCTCTTCCTTCCTTCCTTCCTTCCTTCCTTCCTCTTTCTTTTTTTTTTTTTGCCTTTTGGGGTCCCACCCGGCGATGCTCAGGGGTTCCTCCTGGCTCATGAACTCAGGAATGACTCCTGGCAGTACACGGGGGATCCTAGGGGATGCTGGGAATCGAACCCAGGTCGGCCACGTGCAAGGCAAACGCCCTCCCCGCTGGGCTCTCGCTCCAGCCCCGGGAGTTTGAGTTCTAAGGCAGCTTTTTCCCACTGAGTTCCGTGACCCCCCCGCACACATTGCCGGGACCCCTAACTGCTACCTGCTGTATCCACCAGTATGTCCCCTCCTCCTTTGGGGTCAATAAAAATCATCAGTCATTGATTATGATTTGCTCGAGCGGGCCCAGTAACGTCTCCATTGGAGACTTTGTTGTTACTGTGTCTGGCATATCGAATACTCTCGGTAGATTATGATAATTCCCTTCACCTCAGCCTTATCCACCTTGACACACACACACACACACACACACACACACACGCACACACGCACACACACCCATTCTCATCCCAGGCATCGGACACTTTTTTTCAGCTCTTAATTTCTTTAGTTTGTATTTTCTTTCTTTCTTTTTTTTTTTTTTTCTTGTAGTCGTTTTGGGACTGGAGCGATCGCACAGTGGATAGGGAGTTGGCCTGGCACGCGGCCGACCCGGGTTCGATTCCTCCGCCCCTCTTGGAGAGCCCCTTGGCCAGCTCCCGAGAGGATCCCGCCCGCACGGTGGCAGAGCCTGGCAAGCTCCCCGTGGCGTCTTCGAGATGCCAAACACAGTGACAGCGAGTCTCACCCTGGAGACGTGACTGGTGCCCGCTCGAGCAAATCGACGAACAACGGGAGGACTGTGCTTCAGTGCCAGGGGCCCCTGATGCTTCCCAGAAAAATGCTAATGCAAAATGCCGCGTGTCGGGTTATGTGGTCCCTGTGGATGGCGGTGGAGAAGGAGGCAGACAGAGGAGTCAGTTGCGTTTCTCTGTGTCGCCAGGGCATGGCAAAGCTAGCCCCAGACACTTCAGTGCCCTTTGTGGTGATTTAAGAAAAATGGTGGGTGGCGGGGTGACCCTCTCAAGGGTGTTCCTGAACGCACAAGGCCCCACTGGAGATTGTCAGCCACCCGGACTATCGGTTCCATGCACGGGTTTGAGAAAGCAGCATTGGCGGGGTTGTAGAGACACACCAGGGAATGCTTTGGAGACCTCCGGGCTGCAGACAGCCGTGCTCTGGCGCTCAGGATAAAACTACAGGTGGGGGCTGGAGCGATAGCCCAGCGGGGAGGGTGTTGGCCTGCCACACGGCCGACCCGGGTTCGATTCCCAGCATCCCACAGGGTCCCCCGAGCACCGCCAGGAGTGACTCCTGAGTGCAGAGCCAGGAGGAACCCCTGTGCATCTCCGGGTGGGACCCAAAAAGAAAAAAAAAAAAACAAAACCAAAAAACGACCCCACCAACAGGCTACGTGATGCATGAGTTTAGGGCATCCAGCTGGGGGCCGGGGATATCGGAGCTTGGGAAGGGAGGCCCCTGCCTGCAGGAACAGCCCCTCCCTGCCCCTCCCCTGCCCCCCGTCTGCAAGGACCCCATGTCCCAGGGAGGACCCGTCCCCATGGTGCAGAGTGAGGACACGCATGTTTCTCTTAGGGGCACGGCCCCACCCCTGCACGGATGTTCAGTTCCCTCTGGGGCTCCCGGGGTGGGTCCTTCATGCCTCTTCCAGCTCCCAGGGTCTCTGGGCGTCCCTGGGCAGGGGACTTGGTCCCTCCCATCGCTTCTCCTCTGCGTCTGCGTCTCCTCCTGTGTCTCTGGGAAGGACGCTGTGGTCTGTACTCAGGGCTGACTCCCGGGTCTGTGCTCAGGGCTCACTCCTGGCTCTGGACTCAGGGCTGACTCCCGGCTCTGTGCTCAGGGCTGACTCCCGGCTCTGTGCTCAGGGCTGACTCCCGGCTCGACGTCTCCCGAGCGTATGAACATGTGCGGTGTCCCGGAAAGATCTGCCCACACGCAGTTCCCTCTCCCTTCCCCCCAAACCCATGCGCATGGGCTTGTGCGGTGTGCACGCTGAGCCATGTGCTGGGTGACGACTCCGTGGCCAAGCTGGTTGCCGGCGCACCGGCTCTTCTAGGAGCGTTTGCGTTCAGATCCGTGCCAACGTGCTTTCGGGTGGGGGAGACGCAGGGTTGCAAGATTTGGAAAGTTGCCTGGTGCGAGGGAACGCGGGCGCCCTAGCCGGGGGCGCAGCTGCTTGGAATGTTACGCCTTGGGTACGTCCCCAAGCCCCTGCCTGCGGCTGCAGTGGGGACCTTCGGCTGCTAGGAACATTGCGCCCTGGGCGCTTCCCTTTGGAACGTTGCGCCCTGGGCGTGTATTATCGGAACGTTGTACCCTGGTACCATATGATTAGAATGTTGCACCCTTGGTGCGTCCCGTTGGAACATTACGCTCTCGGTGCATATTATTGGAACGTGGGACCTTGGGCGCGTATTATTGGAACGTTGCGCCCTGGGCGTCTGTTATTGGAACATTGCACCCTGGTCGCGTACCGTTGGAACGTTGCGCTTTGGGCGCGTATTATTGGAACATTGCGCCCTGGAAACAAATTAATAGGATGTTGTGCCTTGGATGCGTCCCGTTGGAACATTACGCCCTGGGCGCTTATTATTGGAGCGTTGCACCTTAGGTGCGTATTATTGGAACATTACGCCCGGGGTGCATCCTGTTGGAACATTGCTCCCTGGGCGCTTCCCTTTGGAACGTTGCGCCTTGGGCACGTGTTATTGGAACATTGCGCCCTGGGTGCGTCCCGTTGGAACATTACGCCTTGGACTCGTATTATTGGAACATTGCGCTCTGGGTGGTTCCCGTTAGAACGTTGCGCCCTGGGCGTATCCCACCGCGACGTGCCGTCAGCGCGTCCGATGGGCACGTTGCGCCCCTCGGCGCATCCCATTGGAACGCTGCGCCCTGGGTGTGTCCAAGCCCTTGGCTGCGGCTGCCGCCGTGAGGACCTATCTGCAGGCGCGCGCCCGCGGAAGATTGCGCCCTGGGCGCATCCATCCGAGCCCCTGGGTGTGGCCACAGCGCGCCCGTGCCGTGGCCTCTTCCTGCCCGTGCGCCCCGCTGGTGGCCAGCCCGATAGCCGCGCGCCGGGTAGAGCAGAGGGGAGGCCTGGCTGCAGGGTTCCAGCTTGCGTCCTCCCTCCCCCGAGCCCGGGGCCACTTCTCATGCCGTGTTTATCTTGCTACTTCTTAGCAGGTGGACGCGAGTGAGCCGCCCGCGGGGGCCCCCTCCCCCATCCTCCTCTCCTCCCCGGCCCGGGCCAGGGGCGCAGCCATGGAGACCAAGGCGGCGGCGGCGGCGGCGGCCGAGGGCTGCCCGAGCGACCTGAAGCTGGTGGCACACCCGCGCGCCAAGAGCAAAGTCTGGAAGTACTTCGGCTTCGACACCAACGCCGACGGCTGCATCTTGCAGTGGAAGAAGATTTACTGCCGCATCTGCATGGCGCAGATCGCCTACTCGGGGAACACGTCCAACCTCTCCTACCACCTGGAGAAGAACCACCCCGAGGAGTTCTGCGAGTTCGTCAAGAGCAACACGGAGCAGATGCGCGAGGCCTTCGCCTCGGCCTTCTCCAAGCTCAAGCCCGACGCCGCCGCCGCCGCCTCCCAGCAGGGCGCGTCGGAAGCTGCGTGCGCCCCTGCGGCGTCGGCCTCCTCCTCCTCCTCCTCCTCCTCCTCTTCCTCCGCCTCCTCCTCCTCCTCCGCCGCCTCCTTTTCCTCCTCCTCCTCCTCCTCCTCCGTGGTGGCCCCGTGCGCCCTCGCCGCTGCTTCCTCGTCCGCCTCGTCCTCCTCCTCCGGAGGTAGCAGCGGCGTTGGCGGCGGCGCCAAGGCGGGCCTGGACAGCAAGCGCCAGCAGGAACTGACCGCCGCCGTGCTGGGCCTCATCTGCGAGGGCCTCTACCCGCCGTCCATCGTGGACGAGGCCACGTTCCAGGCGCTGCTGCGGACGGCCGAGCCGCGCTACGAGCTGCCCAGCCGCAAGTTCTTCTGCAGCCGCGCCCTGCCCGAGCAGTACGCGGCCGTGCGCGCGCGGGTGCTCCAGGAGCTGGCGGCCGCGCCCTGGTGCGCCCTCACCGCCGACATGTGGGCCAGCGCCAGCCAGAACCGCACCTACGTCACCTTGGCGGCGCATTTCCTGCGCGCCGGCCGGGGCACCCCGCCGGGGGCCGCCCCGTCGGCGCTCACGCCGGGCGCCCGCTGCCTGAAGACCTTCGAGGTGCCCGAGGAGAACGCGGCGGAGACGGTGACGCGCGTGCTCTACGAGGCCTTCATCGAGTGGGGCATCGGCTCCAAGGTCTTCGGGGCCACCACCGACGGCCGCAAGGACCTGGTGAAGGCGTGCGCGCTGCTGGACATCGGCGTCCACATGCCGTGCCTGGGCCAGGCCTTCGAGGCGGGCATCCAGCAGGCCTTCCGCCTGCCGCAGGTCGCGGGGCTCCTGGCGCGCTGCCGCAAGCTGGTGGAGTACTTCCAGCAGTCCTCCGTGGCCACCTACCTGCTGTACGAGAAGCAGAAGCAGCAGCAGCAGCCGGCCCCTCGCATGCTGGCCAGCAACCGCGTGGCCGGCTGGGCCAGCACCCTGGCCATGCTGCAGCGGCTGCGCGAGCAGCAGTTCGCCGTGGCCGCCGTCCTCCTGGAAGACACCAACAGCCACCACCTGATGCTGGAGGCGGCCGAGTGGGCCACCATCGACGCGCTGGTGGACCTGCTGCGGCCCTTCGAGCAGGTGGCCGAGCTGCTGTCCGCCTCCCGCTACCCCACCATCAGCATGGTCAAACCCCTGCTGCACATGCTGCTGAACACCACGCTGACCCTCAAGGAGACGGACGCCAAGGAGATCAGCATGGCCAAGGAGGTCATCGCCAAGGAGCTGTCCGCCACCTACCAGGAGACGCCGGAGATCGACATGTTCCTCAACGTGGCCACCTTCCTGGACCCGCGCTACAAGCGCCTGCCCTTCCTGTCGGCCTTCGAGCGGCAGCAGGTGGAGAACCGGGTGGTGGAGGAGGCCAAGGCGCTCCTGGACCAGCTCAAGGACGCGCCCTTCGCGGGAGACAAGACCTACCCGGCGGCGCCCGACGAGGCGCCCTCGCCCGCCAAGAAGTGCGCGCTGGGCAGCGGCGGCGGCGGCCCCGGGCCCGGGAGCGTCATCAACAACATGCTGGCCGAGATCTTCTGCCCCACGGGCGGCGTGGAGGACGAGGAGGAGTGCCACGCGCAGGTTCTGGAGGAACTCAGCAACTTCAAGTCGCAGAAGGTGCTGGCGCTGGGCGAGGACCCTCTCAAGTGGTGGTGTGACCGCCTGGCGCTGTTCCCGCTGCTGCCCAAGGTCCTGCAGAAGTACTGGTGCGTGGCGGCCACGCGCGTCCCCCCGCGCCGCCTCTTCGGCTCCGCGGCCACCGTGCTGGGCGCCAAGCGCAACCGCCTGGCGCCGGCCCACGTCCACCAGCAGGTCTTCCTGTACGAGAACGCGCGCGCGCCCGACGCCGAGCCCGAGGCCGAGGACGAGGGCGAGTGGGGGCTGGACCCCGAGCAGGGCTTGGCCCTGGGCGACCCCGCGCACGGGAGCTTCTTGGGCCTCCGCGAGGCTGGGGCTGGGGGAATCGGCGGCGGGGGCGCCTTTCTTTGACCCTCCCGCGGGATGCAAGAGTGGACCCTGCGCAGCGCCCAGGAGGCACGCGTGGACGGGGACGGCTCAGGCCACCCGGGCGCCCTGTCCAGGCGCTGGGATGGCCCGAGCCAGGCCGCCACGCGGACGGCAAGCTTCATTGCACACATGTAGTGCGCCCGCGTGTGCGCACGTGGGTGCCCGGACTGGCCCCTCGGGCGCGCCACCACCAAGGCAGCCGGCCTTGGGCGCCCTTGGGCGCGCACAGAGGCACCGCGAGGCTGCGCCACGGAGGCCAGGGCGGCCACGGATATTCAGATGCTGCTGCAGGCGCGCGGCGGTGTGGAAGGCTCCGAGGACGCGCAGGGAGAGACTTGAGGGCCGGGAGGAGCCCTGCGGGGCGACCTGAACATTTGAAAAATTGCACCCGAGAAAGAGAGAGAGAGAGAGAGAGAGAGAGAGAGAGAGAGAGAGAGAGAAAGAGAGAGAGAGAGAGAGGGGCATTCAGGCTTTGGAGCCCCTGTGTCAAGTTGGAGGGCGCTGGAGAGGTGTGAGCCAAAGGGCCCGAACGTTTTGTTGCGTCTGGTCGGAGCCCTGGAGAGTGGCCCATCCCCCTGCCCCCAACAAAGGCGGCACACAGCCCCTTCCCCTAGCCAGAACAGAACAAAAACCCAACCCGCAAGGGCACGTGCAAACGGCGCATTTGGAATTCCCGTGCCCGGCCCTCTCAGATCTGGGAGCCCCTCGCTCTGGGAACCTCTCACAACCCCCCTCTGCAAGATTGAAATCTCTCCGCGCCCCCTCTGCCCGAGTGAGTGTGCCGTGAGAGGTGGCCCCGGGTCTGGGGGCGCAGACACGTTAAGGCACGGTCCTACCCCGCCCCCCGCCCCCCAAACTCACCCCTCTGCGCTCTGGACACCTCTGTCCACGGAGTCGGGACTCTCCAGGGTCCTCCTTGGAAAGGAGCATCCGCTAGGGGCCCCCAAGCACTGCCAGGAGCGATTCCCGAGTGCGTGAGCCGGGAGGAACCCCTGAGCATCGCCGGGTGGGACCCAAGAAGCAGAAAAAAAATTGTTTAAACTAAAACGGAAATGTTAATTTTTGATAGTTGGGGTGGTCCTGGGGCCAGGTGGGAAATGTGCTCTGTGTGTGTGTGTGTGTGTCTGAGAGAGAGAGTGCTCACGGTTGCATGAGTGTGTGTATGCATAACAGCGTTTGTGTGAAAAAGTGTGTGTGTGTGTGTGTGAGAGAGAAAGTGCATGCCCGAGAGTGTGTGAGAAAAAGTGTGTCCCTATGTGCCGGAGTGTGTGTGCACAAGAGTGTTTGTGTACACGAACAGAGTGTGTATAAGAGAGAAAGTATGCACGCAACTGAGTGAGTGTGTGAGAGAAAAAGTGTGTCCAGATGTGCCGGAGTGTGTGTGTGTGTTTGAGAGTGTGTGTGCATGAAGAGAGTGTGTGTGTGTCTGAGAAACGTGTGTGTCAGAGTGCGTGGAACAGTGTGTGTGTGCGTGAGAGTGTGGATGCTTGTGCGTGAGCGTGTGTGGGAGTGCGTGTGAGACTGTGTGTCTGAGCGTGCTCGTGAGCCAGTGTGTGTGCGGGTGCGTGTGTGTGTGGGGGTGTGCATGCGTCTGAGAAATGTGTCTATGAGAGTGTGCATATGCGCGTGAGTGTGTGTGCGTGACCATGTGTGTGTGTGAGTGAGAGAAAGTGCTTGAGGCGACGTGATTGTGTGTATGCACGACAGAGTTTTGTGTGTGTGAACAAGCGTGTACGTGAGAGTGTGTATTAGAGAGTGTGCATGTAAGAGAAAAAGTGTGCACGCAGCAGAGTGAGTGTGTGAGAGAGAAAAAGTGTGTCCATGTGTGCTGGTGTGTGTGTGTGCGCACACAAGAGAGGTGTTTGTGTGCCTGATGAGAGTGTGTGTACATGAGAAATGGGTATGTGTGTGAGAGTGCGTGGGACAGTGTGTGTGTGTGTGCATGAGAGCGTCTGTGTATATGTGTGTGCTTGCGTGTGTGAGAGTGCGTGTGAGAACTGTGTGTCGTGAGCGTGTTCCTGAACCAGTGCGTGTGGAGAGCACGTTTGTGTGGGTGTGCACTGGTCTGAGAGTGTGTGTGGGAGCTTGTATGAGAGTGTGCATGAGAGTGTATACACGCGAGAGTGCGTTTGTGTGCGTGAGCGTGTCTGTATGTGTGAGCGTGTCTGTATGCATGAGCGTGTGCGTGTGAGAATGTGTGTGCGTGCGAGATTGTGTGTCTGTGTCCATGAGAGAGCGTGTGTGCATTGCTTGAGATGTTCGACTCCCGTGAGCGCCAAAGCTAGCTCCAGCCGCCGTGCAGTGCGCCCCACTCTCAAATGCGAACCCCCTTGTCCGCTTTCTGGCCACGTGCCCCGACCCGCCCGCAGACCCCCCGAGACCCCCACCCGCAGCTGCGACTGACTTGTCATTTTCCCCTCGTCGTCTTTCGAACCCTGCGTCCTCCCCTTATTTAACACTGTTCAATAAAGCGTCAGATGAGTCTGGAGCTGCTTGCTGGATGTGGGACCACACTTTCTCCTCGTGGCAAGGGAGAAAGGACAAACCAATGTCATCCTACAATCCACCATCGATCTGTCCATCCTTCCGTCCATCCACCAATCCATCCTTCCATCCTTCAGTCCATTCACCCACTCATCCATCCATCTATCCACTCATCTATCCATCCATTATCCATTCATCCACCCATCAGTTCATCCATCCAGCCTTCTACCAATCCACCCATCCACCCACTCATTCATCCATCCATTATCCATCCTTCCATCCATCCATTCACCCATCCATCCATCCATCCGTCCGTCCGTCCATCCATCGATCCATCTATCCACCCATCCACCCATCCATCCATCCATCCATCCACCCATCCATCCACCCACCCATCCATCCACCCATCGACCCACCCATCCACCCATCCATCCACCCATCCACCCATCCATCCATCCACCCATCCATCCATCCACCCATCCATCCATCCACCCATCCACCCATCCATCCATCCATCCATCCATCCATCCATCCATCCACCCACCCATCCACCCATCCACCCATCCATCCATCCACCCACCCACCCATCCATCCACCCACCCACCCATCCATCGACCCATCCATCGATCCATCGATCCATCCATCCACCCACCCATCCACCCACCCATCCATCCGTCCATCCATCCATCCATCCATCCATCCATCCAACCACCCACCCATCTATTTGCACATTCTTCTAATGAGGTTACTAGGGCAAGGGCTCATGGCACCTCCAGTCCTACCCTCAGCTCCCCCCAACCGCGGGCCCCTCACCAAAAGGAGATGGGTGTGAGGTGTGATCGAAGAGTGTGAGAATTTGAGAGAGAGAGAGAGAGAGAGGGAGGGAGAAAGAGGCAAGGAAACAGAGAGACGGGGAGAGAGAAGGAGAGAAGTAGATAGGATCTAGGGAGAGAGAGAGAGGACAGAGGGCTAGAGAGAGAGGGAGAGAGTGGAGGGAAGGAGTGAGAGGGAGAGAGAGGGAGAGACCAATGCAGAGAATCAGCGGGAGAGAGAGAGAGACAGAGAGAGAGACAGAGAGAAACACGGAGAGAAGACAGAAGAGTTTGCTGCCCATGGTGTGTGGGTTGACCAACCCAAAACCCCGTAGAGCAGAACCAGACCGGGAGGTGGAAACACAGTAGGGGTGTGTGTGTGTGTGTGGTGTGGGGGGGAGGCACAACTCCATTCCAAACCCCGCCCCCTGGTTGCTAGAACATTCCTCCTTACTCTGGGTTCTGCCCGTCAATCCAGGTGCTGTCCTCGTCAAGCTCTTTGAGTTTGGTGGGACCGGGGGTCACCCACACCAGCATGATTCCCCACCCCGGTCCAAGTCCAAAGCTCTGTATTGCCTACGCTTGCTATACCACATAACAAGCTGCAAAGCTCTGCAGTGCAAGAAAACACAACATCGCCTGTGAATGCAGTGCAATCTGGTGTCACATGACCTAGAGCAAGCATGAAGGTGTAGAAGCGTCTGGCCTCCTTTCCAAGGCACCCACGTGGGCGCCATGGCTTAGCCAGGCGGTCCCAGGGGCTGTGACGTGGATGGCTTCTCAGGTACGTGGCTGGGGCCGACAGGAGCCTGAGGGAAATGGCCACAGGGCCCTGAACACGCAGCTGGGATGGTGTGGCCGGTGTGGGACACGGTGTCTTACTCCGTGTAAGACAGCCCCTTACTACTCCTCCTCTTCCTGGAGTGAGCCCTGAGCACAGAGCCGGGAGTGAGCCCTGAGCACAGAGCAGGGAGTCAGCCCTGAGCACAGAGCTGGGAGTCAGCCCTGAGCACAGAGCCGGGAGTCAGCCCCGAGCACAGAGCTGGGAGTCTGTCCTGAGCACAGCTGGGTGTGCCCCCCCTCAAATCTCGATCTTATTTGTATAATGTAGCATATTGGGAACTTAGCAATGCCCCCATTGGGCTCCTGGTTCACTGCAGACACCCACTTCTTGTCTCGGTGCTGGTGGGGCTTGAGCCCAGCTCCGTAATCGGAACATTTCCCCCATCAGGAGTTGAGATTTTACGAGACAGGGGACTCCTCATTCCTCCTCTTTTCTTTTTTACTATTTTTTAATTTATTCTCACTTAATTGTAATGAATCACCTTGAGATACAGTTACAGACTGACAAACTTTGGTGGCTACATTGTAGTCACACAATGATCCTTTTACTTTTTAATTATTTTCTTTTTGAATCACCGTGAGACACAGTTACAAGCTTTCCTGTTTGAGTTTCAGGCACACCATGATGGAACCCCCCTCCCTCCACCAGTGCCCATTCCCCACCCCCAATGTCCCCAGTATCCCCCCATCCCACCCTCCCCCTGCCTCCAGGGCAGACAATCTCCCCCAGACTCTCTCTCCACTTTGGGGCATCATGGTTTGCAATACGGACACTGAGATCAATCTAGATCAATACAAACCAAATACCGATCACGTTGGGTCCTTGATCTACTCTCAGCACACACCTCCCATCCCGAGCGATGCCTCCATCCCTCCCTGACTCACTGACCCCTTCTCCATCCCAGCCACCTTCTCCCTCGCGTCATGAGGTCAACGTCCAACCATGGGGCATTCCTCCTGGCCCTTGTCTGTACTGTCCTTGGGTGTCAGTCTCCTATTATGTTATTTTACTATATTGAATCACTGTGAGACACAGTTACAAGCTTTCCTGTTTGAGTTTCAGTCACGCAATGATGGAACCCCCATATCTCCACCAGTTCCCATCCTCCCCAATGTCCCCAGTATCCCCCCCATCCCACCCTCCCCCTGCCTCCAGGGCAGACAATCTCTCCCAGACCCTCTCTCTCCTTTGGGGCATCATGGTTTGCAATACAGACACTGAGATCAATACAGATCAATACGGATCCAATACCGATCATGTTGGGTCCTTGATCTTTTCTCAGCACACACCTCCCATCCCGAGCAACGCCTCCATCCCTCCTTGACTCAGAGACCCCTTCTCCAAACCAGCTGCCTTCTGCCCTAGCTCATGAGGCTGGCGTCCAACCCTGGGGCAATCTTCCTGGCGCTTGTGTCTACCGTTCTTGGGCGTCAGTCTCTAATTATGTTATTTTATTATATTGAATCACTGTAAGATGCAGTTACCAAGCTTTCCTGTTTGAGTTTCAGTCACATAATGACGGAACCCCCATCCCTCCACCAGTGCCCATTCCCCACCACCAATGTCCCCAGTATCCCCCCATCCCCCCATCCCCCTGCCTCCATGGCAGACAATCTCCCCCAGACTCTCTCTCTCTCTCCTTTGGGGCATCACGGTTTGCAATACAGACACTGAGATCAATGCAGATCAATCCAGATCCAATACCGATCACATTGTGTCCTTGATCTACTCTCACGGACACATCTCCCATTTCGAGCGATCCCTCCCACCATCAGTGACTCAGTGACCCCTTTTCCATCCCAGCTGCCTTCTCCCCCAGTTCACAAGGCCGGCGTCCAACCCTGGGGCAATCCTCCTGGCCCTGGTCTCGACTGTCCTTGGGTGTGTCCGTCTCTGATTGTGTTATTTTATATTCCACAAATGAGGGCAGCCCTTCTTGTCTCTGACTCGAGGACGCTGCCTTCTGCCGCCTTGCAAAGGGCCGGGGGCCACCCACAAGAACCCCCTTATCTCCGCGAACTCTTTGTGTGTGTGTGTGTGTGTGTGTGTGTGTGTGTGTAGGGGGTGTTGTGTGAAGCATAGGATCCTCCAGCGCAGACCCTCAGAGAAGACATAAGTGCTGTTGTGATCCCGTCAGCCAACGTCTCGACCCCAATTCTCTCCGCCCGTGCCGTTGGTCCTTAAGGTTGAACCCTGCCCCTGGGTGGGTGGCCTCTTAGGGGGAGGGACACCCGCAGACTCACTTTTTTAAATTTTGGGGTCCCACCCGGCGATGCTCAGGGGTTTTTCTTGGCTCTGCACTCAGGAATCACTCCTGGCGGTGCTCAGGGGACCCTAGGGGATGCCGGGGATCGAACCCGGGTCGGCCACGTGCCAGATCAATGGCCCTTCCCTCTGGGCTGTCGCTCCGGCCCCTAGACTCAATGTCCTTCCTTCTTCCTTTTCTCCCTGGTTAATGGGAGCGGCCGCTTTAGGAGGCGTGGGGTGCGGGGAGAGGGGTTCGAGAGGGTTTATCTTGTTGTTTTATTTATTTATGTTACGTGAGAGATGTTGAGGAATTCCTTTTCCTTGAATCACTGCGAGATGTGGATGAGTTCCGTTTTCGGGGGTCACTGTGCCATGCACCGTTGCAAAGTTGCGAGCGACTGGGTTCCAGCCCTGTCGTGTTCCAACACCCGTCTCGTCACCCCAACACCAGTGTCCTCAGGTTCCCTCCTGCCTGTCTGTGTGGAAGACACCTTCCTTTCCTCTCTCTCTGTCTGTCTCTGTTTCTGTCTGTCTCTCTCTGTGTCTCTGTCTCTCTCTCTCTCTGTGTCTCTCTGTCTTTCTGTCTCTCTCTGTCTCTCTCCCTTTGAGTGTGTCTCTCTCTCTGTCTCTGCCTCTTTGTGTATGTGTCTCTGTCTCTCTGTCTCTGTCTCTCTATCTCTGTCTCTTTGAGTGTGTCTCTCTCTGTCTCTGCCTCTTTGTGTATGTGTCTCTGTCTCCGTCTCTCTCTGTCTCTTTGAGTGTGTCTCTGTCTCTCTCTGTCTCTGCCTCTTTGTGTGTGTGTCTCTGTCTCTCTCTGTCTCTGTTTCTCTCTGTCTCTCTCTGTCTCTCTTTGTCTCTGCCTCTTGGTGTGTGTGTCTCTGTCTCTCTTTGTCTCTGTCTCTGTCTCTGTCTCTTTGAGTGTGTCTCTCTCGTCTCTGCCTCTTGGTGTGTGTGTCTCTGTCTCTCTCTGTCTCTCTCCCTTTGAGTGTGTGTCTCTCTCTCTGTCTCTGCCTCTTTGTGTATGTGTCTCTGTCTCTGTCTCTCTCTGTCTCTTTGAGTGTGTCTCTCTCTGTCTCTCT